CTCCACCCTGACTCCTGCCACCTCCACCCTGACTCCTGCCGACTCCACCCTGACTCCTGCCACCTCCACCCTGACCCCACCCGGACTCCTGCCACCTCCACCCTGACCCCACCCTGACTCCTGCCACCTCCACCCTGACTCCTGCCAGGTAAAGTTCAGCTTTACAGGTGCAGTTTGGGAATAAGGAGGTTTCCCTCCTCAGCAACACGAGCTCACTTACTTCTGTGAGAAGAGGTCTCTGTAGGGGCTGCCGTGCTGCATGGCGATGCCGTAGCCTTTACTGCTCATGCTGCTTCCCGACACGGTGACGGTGCAGTCGTCATCCGTCAGGGCCACGTACTCCAGCACCGCCATGTCCCAGAGAAAGGCGTACGGACCCTTCTTTGCCTGCAGACACAGAGGGGGGGCATGGTTATTTGATGGTTTCTTATTCGTCATCATCAGCGACTCTCAAATGCCTCCACTGTTACTGGATTCAGACTTTTCTCCGGCGGCTTCATCCAGAGCAGAGCTAAACCTGAAGTCTGCAGCTGACCCGACACTGTGCACAAGAACACCGACCGTATTTACCCTCAGATCCTGATTCAGTTCCACAGTGACCGTGTCACGTGTGGAAATGCACGCGGCGCCATGGGTATTTATTAACGTCGCTGTCGGCTGGTGTCACGACTGCACAGTCATAAATATTTGATAGTGCCTCAGATATCCACGCTTACAGACTTTTTCTTGGATATATTCTGTCTTGAATACATTTTTTATGTTTGCATTTGTTTTCTTCACTTTGAAATGTTGACACCGAAACAAATTAGCTTATAAATCCTGCAGTGTGATTTCCTCCCCTGCATGCATACATCTCTATAAATAACCTCGTGCAGCTGCAGCTGCGCTCTGATGCGCTCTGTAAATGTGTCTAAGTCTCTTTGTGATGCTAAATACCTGCAGGAGTGTTAGTCAGGCTGGTGTGCTCCTCCCGGCTGGGTGAGGAGATGACAGTAACACAGATACGGGAGCAGCAGCAGGTGGGGTGAAGTGGATGAGGTTGTCGGTGTTTTTTTCACTGTGTCAGCAGATCTGCTGCATCTGCCTCCTTCAACCTGTTCGCTGTAACTGAAAACTGTGCGCGCTCCTCTTTGTCAGATCCTCCCCGCTGTTACAAACTAATGACGACGTCACGTCTGTCTGATGATCTGCTGCGCGCAGGTGCTGCTGTTAGCTCCGTCCTCTTATTTAAAGAGAGCGGGGAGGGAGGGGCTTCTCTCTCTCTGAGGGGATGAGGATGTGCACCATGCTACGCTAGGAGAGGACACAGGGACAGCAGAGGAGACATTCCTCTGAATCAAAGGAGGACGAATCAGGGCACCAAGCACAGACAGACCCCCGACCTGCTCTCACAACCCCGAGAAGAGCTCACAGCTCGTCTGCATTCAGCCAGCGGGACGGCGAATGCTGGGAAGTGACGTCAGGATTTATCTGAAGACTCTCATCCATCCATCAGTAACTTTTACAGGAAGGTTCAGTCTCCAGGCTGACTTACAGGAATCACGCTGCACAATGCATACAAAATATTCCAGGGTTTATTTTTCCAGCCTGATAATCCTGCAGAGGCCAGAAACTTACAAAGCTTACTGCTTCGTCTTAGCCAATCCCTGCATGCCCTCCCGACAACGCCCTCTCACCGAGCTGTGGCGAAAGCAGGGCTGAGATTGGCCAGAAATAACACGATGTCACTGAGATCTGATGCATTTAAATGCAAATGAGAATTTCAAACTTGTGCCAAAAAGTCGACTTCCTCCTCGATCGCTCTCTTAGTTTAAACATCAGAGCCTAGAGCTGTTTCTTCAGTTAGGCTGAGGCGCTCATGACATGTTCGTCCCCAACGTCCCAAAATATACACGAGTTACTGAAAACATGTATTTAAACATAATATTTCAGATTAATCAGTCTTTTACTATTCTCGGTTTTAGTCAGAGTTCGTCCCGTCGACACTCCAGGTGTTTCTCGTTGTTATTCGGAGCCCGACTCATCGAACGATTCTTCCTCGTCAGACACGGTTTTCTGATTCGTACAAAGATACCTGCAGTACAAAGCTTTCGCTCTACGGTGTGAACAACATGAAGAATTTGAACGTGGAAATTCATTCACGTCACAGTTACTGTCATCAGTTTATATTAGAGTTCATATTGCAGCACAAACACTCGGCTCATGCTGGTGCAGACATCCCAGCGACGCGAGCGCTGTGTCTGCACATAACAGTTTGGCAAAGAACCAGCTTTATATGTCTTTAGGCTCTTAGCTGCTTATTTACAAACCACATCATTTGTTCCCATTTCTGTAGTTTATCTATGAGAAATGTCAAAGACAACTCAGTTTGACAGGAAAAACGTTCGTTTGTTTTTCCAGCTCAGATCCAGGATTTGACAAACGGGGACTGGATGGGAGCCAAAAGCGCTCCAGATCATTCAGTCCCTGCGGTCACCTCAGTTCATGGAAAGCTTCGGAGTCGACGCTGATCAAAGCTGAGGACGTCCTGGTTATGAAGAGTCATGTATGAGGTCGTCTTACAGTTTGCACTGGTGCCTAAAAGTCCTGTGACTGCAGCTTCTGGATGTGAGTCTCAAGCAGCGTGTGGGAGGAAGCAGTCGACAATAGCAATAAAACTGATTAGAGAGTGTGTGTGTGTGTGTGTGTGTGTGTGTGTGTGTGTGTGTGTGTGTGTGGGGAGAAACCGTCAAAGAATCTGTGGGGATGTTTATCATGCAAATGGCTGAATAATGGATGCGCTCGGAGACGATTTGTCTTTGACGCTAATTTGTCATCGGCTTTTTGGGAGATCTATGAGCACAACAGTGTAGAGCAGAGAAACACCACCTCACTCTCACACACACACACACACACACACACACACACACACACACACACACACACACACACACACACACACACTAATTGGGATATTGTGAAACTGCTGTTGAAATTAAGTAATGGGTAAACAGAGGAGTGTCTTTGCATGCGGCCTGCTGGGAATAACGCAGGAGGAGCGTGTGCTTCTGTTTTCACCATTATTGATATGCGTGCATCAATATAACACACAAATGGTGTTCTTGGAGGAACGAGTGCTGCAGGGTTTACTGCAAAAAAGGGGAAATAGCATGAAAGAGTTCAGCTGCTCAGCCCTTCATTAGAAAGGGGGAAACTTTGAGCACGACTTCCTGTTACTTTTACCTGGAGGTTGGGACTGCGCTCTGGAGAGGACGCGGACCCCTTCAATCTGAAGTTGCCCCTGATGAGAAGTGCAGATGTGAGAATACGTGTATCACCTCTGCTCGAGGGACGGACCCCGACTGCCATTTGTGCTTCTACCAAACAACAGGTCGGAGCACTCGGCCTTCCTCGGGCCCCTGAGGGGAGAGTGTCCTATTAAGAGACTCCACGGCCCTGCAGTGAGACCTGCAGGGCTGTGACTGGGAGGAACAGCCTGTCAGATCTGAAGCTGAGTGTTGGTCTGTTATTTGTCCATAACAAGCATCACAGCAAGCACATGTGACACCAGCACAGCCCACTTTGTAATCCCTTCATCCGATCTGTGGCCTCTTTGGACACTCAGCAAAGAGAGGAGCTTTCAGCTTGAGTTAAAACAGGTGGGGTAGGATGCTGGGACCATCTGGATCTGGTCTCCCAGAGAAACCGGGGACATTTGGTCCAGTTAGCAGCTACAGCTGCCCGTGGCACTATGGACCTGTCCATCAAAGAGGCAAACGTAACAGGAACGCCCCCTTATTTCCCACAGACCCACCTGTCTGGATAAGGATTTTTACAGGATACACTTCAGGTTATCCAGGTTTGTGTTTCCTCCCAGGCTCAAGATTTCACATGTCAGGTGAATATTGTAACTACTACAGCAAGCCAGTGTTGAACACAGCTGTTCTCAGCTGACTCGGACATTTGATCTGGGTTTTCATTGGAGGCCGCTGGTGTTTGACCCCTGCTCTCCCACTAACTCTGCGTGCTTCCACTGCACGTCAGTGATTTATGAGATATTTATTTTTGCTGCATCTGCAGGCCAAACCATGGATGTTGGAACCAAAGCTGATGATTTTACTCTTTTACAATCACACACCAGCACCTCTGCGGTACCTTGCGTATTCCCTCTGACGGGCTGGACACGGAGTAATCCATGCCGTTGTTCTTGCTGATGGTCCTCCACAGCTCTGAGTAGGTGCTGTCCTGCTCCAGAGGGTTGGTGCCTTTGTTCCTGAAGTAGTCGTAGACCGCCGAGTCCCTCACAGTGCCGTAGTCCACGTCGATCTGCCTCGCCAGGTCCTGGAAAGACCTGGAGGACAGAAATGGAAGGGTTGTTAAAAACAAACTAGGTGAAGGTAAGCGGTGAAGCACAGGTGGAGGACATTAGACTGGAGGAGGCTCGTGTAGGGCCATCTGAGGCTCAGTGCACACGTCCAGTTTGCAGCCGTGACCTCAGTCATACAGCAGTCGGAGAGTCCAAAGTAATTACCGATCATAATCATTCACATGTTGTCATGTCATTATATTGTTTGCTTATGCTCATCTCTTCATACCTTTCTAAAGTCTGTCTCTGTGTTTTCTTTCTACAGTGTGACAAATTAACTGGAAGTGTATGGATGTCTCCGGATGCCTGGTGTGACGGTGAACTGATTTCAGTGTTTTACAGGTTTGTGGAGACGTGGAGCCTGTGGACACTGAAGAGGTGGCAGACTGGTTGTAATCAAGGACACCGCGAGAAGAGCTGATTCGTTCTTCCATCGCCTTCAGGTGTTTGAGCGGCTCGCAGTTTCTGTCATTTTAATAAGAAAGTACAAACAGAGCTCCACATAGTTCAACGGGAACACAAAGACAATTTTAAATCTGTATCAGCAAACCTATGACAAAGAATTCAAATGGAACGCTAAACTTCAGGATGAGGTCCAAAGAGATGTTGCAAGTGAAGGAGGCCTAAAGACCTAAAAGACCTAAAAGACCACAGGATCCTCTGAACTAAACCTTCACCAAGTCAAACACACTCTCAAAGAGTTCAGAGTCCTTACAAATGGAAATACAGAGTTTACAATGAGGAACACGAAGACATCTGAGAGAAGCAGCCCAGGTCCAGACAGGTGGAACCAAGATCACCAGAATGATGGGACGAGAAAGGCACAGAGAAAGACAGAAAATCTCAGGATCTGAAGTTTACCACATCACCTGCCAAACATGGAGGAGGTAGTATGACAGTATGGAGCCCAAACATGTCCCTGATGTCATATCACTGGTTTGCATCAGGTTGGGACCTTTGTAGTTTCTGCTTCACTTGGTAATTTCTTTATGTTTGTATTTATTTTTTCTGTCGAAATATTGTGAAACATGAAAACGTTTTCCAGAGCCACCCAGTGGGCCAAACTGGAGTCTTTGCACGGCTGATTCCAGCCCCTGGGCCTTATGTTTGACATACCTGCTGTAAGCCAGTCGGTTTATTAATGTTTCCATCATAAGACTTCAAAGGGAGGCTCGGTCTGAAGGTGCTGCAGCTAACCTAATGTGGTCCAAACTGAAACAGCTCGATGGCAGACGAGTGTTCGGAGGTTCCCCGCCAGGCTAAAAATACTTTAAACACACTTTCTGCTCAGATGCAGTCACACACTAATTTGTCTGTTTTTGCTTTGTTAAAGTCTGTGAATCGATGTGTTTTGTTCTCTGGAGGAGTCGTCTCGCGCCAACAAGGCCTCGCGCTTCTTTGTTCCTGCTGCGATTGATTCCATCGTGTTGGTTCTGTAATTATGTTTAAACAGTAATGTGTGGAATAAACAGAGGTCAGCGTGGGTCATTGGTTGGACCCCCGCTCCTCCCTGCAGGCTGGGATCTGAGACCACTTCAGACCAAAGCGCGTTGTTTTAAACGAACCGACAGGAAACCGCAGTCTGACGAGTGCGCTCGGTTAAAGTGCCGGCCTCTTCAGCGAGGGGTCAGTGTGTCACCCAGCCGGTGTAAAAGGTGATTTCTGACCTGTGGAGCTGGAGTTATGTCCTGTATCTACACCTTCTTATTTTATGTACAAGTGGGCGGGAGTTTCACTTCCACTTGAAATCTGAGAAACATCCTTCCCTCGTCTGCAGCTTTGGTCCGGACGCCCAAAATGTTACTGTAAATCTGACATTTGTCACTTTCTGCTTGAATGTGTCATGTTCGTTCATATTCTTTAAATGTAACCTCATGCTGTCTCCTCCGTGGCTGATTTAATACGTTTTTGTTTTTAACATACAATCTGACTTAAATGAAATGCTCTTATTGTGAGTAATTTAAAGTAGATTGTTGAGCTCAACACAAAAATTTGCTTCAATTTTATTTATGCAGCATCAAATCACAACAACAGTCACCTCACAGTGCTCTCTATTGTAAGTTAGAGATCGTAACACAGAGAAAACCTCAACGATCAGACGGCCACCTGTGAACAAGCACTTTGGCGACAGTGGGAAGGAAAAACTCCGTTTTCACAGGAAGAAGCTCCGGCAGAACCAGGCTCAGGGAGGGAGATGGGACAAAGCCAGCCAACTCATAAGGACTCAGGACAAACGACCAATCAGACGGCAGTGACACTAAACTAATCTGAATAAAGAAGTTTTATTTCAGCTTTAAGGCATTTTCTGCACCGACTTCATCTCCGAGGCCTCAGTATTGATGACAAAGTTGGAGATGAATCGACGGTTTTAAAATAAAAAGTCTTCTTTTTGTTGTGAGTGTGTACTGACCGTTTGGCTTCAGCTTCACACAGCCTGCGGAAATGAAAGTAAATAAAGTCCTGCTGCACATATCAATAATAAATACTCGGATATGACCGGCGGGCGTGAGCATTCACTGTTGTTGTTTGGACCGAAGCAGACGCCGTCTGAGTGAAGGTGAAGTAAACGTTTCCTGAAAGGCAGCGTTTATGATTCGCTGTGCGGTTCGAGGCGTCAACGAGCTAAAAGGGAAACCTGACTTTGTTAAACGATATTTATCATTATTATATTTTACTTTCTGTTCCTCATAACTGTTAATGTCCTGATCTATATTTATAAACAGAGCCTGCTGAGCCTTTGAAATAATAAATCCTTCACAGACACGCGTCGTAAATCTGAGCGAGGACGCGCGTTCACGCGTCGCTGCGTCCACACGCGCAGCTGCGGGCTTGATGTTTGTCGCTCTGAGAGGAGACCGCTCTGTTGTCTGAGGAGATTTTAAAGGAAGTCTGCATCACGTGCAAATCTGCGAGTGTCAGTAAAAGCAACATTTCAGCATTTAGGCGTCACGCTGTTCAATGAGCCGCCTGTCACGGAGTGACGCCGCCGGCCTGCTGATGGAAATGTCAGCGGGGATTTGATTCCCGGACGAGTAAAGACAGAAGAGGGCGGAGCTGAGCTGATATTAATGGTTGTTTTGAACCTTCAGACAGGAAGTGAGAGATAACGCTCCGCACGCACCGCCCAGATAAACGGCGACGTACCTGAGCTGTGCATTTGTGCCGAGCATGTCACAAGTGTACTCGTGCATCCAGAGGGTGTGTGTGTGTGCAGTGAAGACAAGCTAAACTCCTAAACAGAGTGAGGAGTTGCAGGACTGCTCTTGAACTTCTGGAGTAGCTTTCAACTACTTGCAGTGCAGAAGAATCCAGATTCACTTTTTCTCTGACTGAAGTGAGCCGTTTTACTTCCTGTCTCTTTAAGGACCCCGCCCCTTCCTAAAAGCCCACTTTCTCTTGATTGGCCAGTTTGCTGTGGCCTGCTGAGGGGCCGTCTTCGGTGTTGATGAGCTGCTCGTTTTGTACTGGAAGCCAGATGTGTTGTACGTGTGATGAAGTGCACACACTTCCTGTCAGCACGATGGTTTAACTGGGAACTTTTTCCTGACGTTGTATCAAAATCCTTTGAAATAAAAACTGATTTGAATAAAAATCTGCTTCACTTCAAATGAGTAACGAGAGATTTCAAAGCAGTGATTTCTCCAGTTGTCTAACAGCATTGTGCCACATTAAAGATGACTACAGCTCTCTAAACAATGATTTCAGGCAGGACTGGCTGTGAGTTAAACCTGAATTTTGGACTTTCAGGATTGATCTCCGGATGCAAAGTGAAGGTCGGCCACTGTGAACACCCCGCAGTCCTCCTGCAAAGCCTTCAGACGTCCTGATTAGTGTTTCATCTCCAGTAGCCGTGGCAGCACGGACCCCCGTGTGATCGCCGCCTTGCTCCAGCAGCTAATCGCTGTTCTGATTGGCTCCGATCGAGCTCGTCCACCTCTGATTGTGTTGTTCGGCCGTGAATGCAGAGCAGCATTAATGGCCACTCCGGATGCCGAACGCTCTAAAGGGAAACGGAGCTGCTGAACAACAAGGGCTCGGAGCAGTTGGGTCTTTGAACCTGAAACCCGGGCAGAGCCGCACACAGAGGCGCGATGATGGCCGGTGACGATATAAAAAGAGGCTCCGGACTTTGATGTCGGACCACTCGGGTTTTATCGAGGTGAAGACGACAACAAATAAAGAGAGAGAAATGAAATATTGCTTTTGATCTGATGCCTGCGGCGCTGGGTGGGAGGCAAACACTCGCCAACGCCGTTGACGCCGCTCACGCTTCAGCACTCAAGTGTTTTTGGGTTTCAGTGAGAAAAAAAACACATTATCACTGCGGTACAAAGAGCCCGAGTGGAGGCCTCATACCTGACTCCACTCGGGTCACTGGGATGTCGATTTTAAAGCGATAAGCTAAAAACTTTGACACTTGAATGCTGAAAGTCACTAACTAGAAAAATTCTTTTGATTAATACGTAGACGACTAATTAACCACCTTTGACCTCAAAGCAACAAGTCTGAAGTCGGCCTGCAGAACGAAGCTGGGACTGAAAGAAAGCTTCAACAGATGACGTCGCCGCGTACTGCACCTTCTTCTTCTGCAGTGTTTCTTTCAGGAATCTGCAGAGCTCGACCACGAAGAACATTCCCTCCCAACATGCACGGATCGAAATTCTCTTTGAAAATCAAGACGAGCTTTTTATTCAAGGCGTGGCTGAGTGGCGTGAGGCTAACGTCCTGGTACTCAGGATCTCGTCTGCTTTTATCTTCTCACTTGACTTGACTGGTCAGGTGATGGGAAAGAAAATCAGCACCTCCAGTTCGGAGGTCGTGATTCTCAGCCTGAGCCCTCCGGGTCGGGGTGCTGATCCAGGGAGCTGAACGAGCTGGGCGGTGAAGTCGTTGACTTAGCGGCCGGTCTGCGAGTTGGGGTTCATCACACTCTGACACACCCTGATACTAAAAAGTATTTACAACATGAGGAAAGTTGTACTTTTGAATATGAAGAGCTGCTCCAGGCTTCTCTTTATGAACTCCAATTTTATTTAAATTTAAATCTGAATTGTGAAGCGAACGAGGTGAAATATCCTGGAGGATCAAACTCAGGCGCAGACTGTTCAACACGCCGTGTCTGCTCAGGCGGGCGGATTTCTTCTGAGTGTGCGGCTCCTGTAAGCGGACACACTCCTGATCTATAAGCCGTCGCTGACCGATCCCATCTCTGCGCATTTGCAGAAAAACGTCTGAATCTGTTTTTTTGATCAGTGAGACAAAGTCAAATATTTCCCACTTTTGCGACTCTTCTTGTTTTTCCAGGTTGTTTCTGGAAACGAGAGTTTCTGACCCTGTGACGGGTTCGTGTTTGCTTGTTTGTTCAAACAACACAGCTCACGGTGAGCCCTGCTCGCCTGGAACATTAAATTACCGTCAGTCGGTTCGCTGCGATGAAGGGGGTCAGCTTTATCTGTCCAGCTTAAAAGCTGCTCATTAGATGTCTGCAGGAAATTTATTGAGCTGTGCAAAAGTTCTCAGAAAGGTTAAAGAGGCCGAGCAGAAGTTTGAGGAGGTGGAAATCGTTGTTATCACTCAGAGCAGCTTGGTTCCTTTTGGTCATGAAACAAAGACTTCAGTGAATTTTGGTGATGCTCTGTGAACTCAGGACAGTTTATTTCTGTATTTTTGATGTTTGTTTTCTTCACAGATCACAAGCAGTGTGTGCTGAACTCTGCAGCGGAGAAAGTGCCAGAGATGCCACAAACTGCAGTTCCTGGAATGTCCACTGGAGGCTCCCTCCAGCCCTGAGTCTGTTTTGTTCTCTGTGGTTAATTTTTTCCATGACTCACCTGTTTAAACTGTATTAAAGCCTAAAGTTGGCATCATTAGGGGCGTGGCCTCAGAGCAGACCAAGGACACGCTGGAGGAGGCGGCTCAGGACCAAGACCTGGTCCCGGATGAGCTGAAGACAATGCTCAGACTCCAGTGGGTTTCCAAACTGACCCGTGTGAGTCAGTGGTCTCCTTCATGCTTTGAACCTTTTACTGCGGTTTCCTGTTGAGGTTTCTTCTAAACAGCCTTTTTTTAATTTCCTGCCTCATATTTGGTGAACGTGACGGACGAGTTACTGGATCAGCTCGAGCTCCCGTGTTCGCCCAGAGGAGTCCGCAGCTATCGTTGCATTTCTTGCGTAACACACTTCACAAACCAAACTGAGTATTTTTTTTAGTGCTGAGGATTTAAGTATTTATGCAAATCACACGTGAACTTTCAACATCTCCAAACTTTCCCTCTCCTCGGCTTTTGGACGAGTTGCAAAATCCGCCAGCGCTCCTCGCCACGAGGTCAGCGCGTTCTTCGTCAACAGCGAGAGTGTTAAATGTGAAAAAGAGTGAAGCGGCGAGGCAGCCGGCGCTGGTTAGACGGGCTTTTTTTTGCAGTGCATTAAATACTTGAACTCAGCCGCTGCAGCGTGGCTCCTTCATGAAGAAATATTCAAGCCGAGAGCCGTTTCAGCAGCGCAGGCGAGCCTCTTAATCCATCCACAGATCAGCTGCACCTTCACACCCTCCTCTCTCGGGGTTTGTTAAATCAGAGAGGATGAGCAGCCCGTCTCCGGCCTCCCACAGCACTGATGTAAATCAGTTTCTTTAGTTCCCTCCTTAAGGTTAAGAATCGGCGGGAGAAGCTCCCGAGGTCGGCCGAGCAATTAACACGGTGCTGCAGAGGAGCGGCGGCCACGTTCAGCCGAGTCAGGCGTCTCTTTAAGGGCCGAGCTTCCCGTGGACGGAAAACGCTGTGCTCGCTGCTAATTAGCCGCCGCAGAGCCGACCAGGTCACTCAGTTACAGTTTTACAGAACTGGTCTTTAGATGTTATAATTTATTCAGCAGAAACTCCAACGTGTTTATCGGCGTAATGAGGAAACAGCTTTAATTAAGTATCCACAAATTTGCTTAATGTCTGGTCTCTGTTTTTCAAACCGTTACATGCCCACGGCTTCTTTGTGGCGGGAAAAGACGAATAAATCACGGCTGGTAAACACAGTGGGACTCCCACCTCGCAAGACATGTGTGGAGACTGCAGTGACGGCTCCACGCCACATCAGCTCACAGAGACTGTATTTAAAAGATGGACAGCGCCATGTGACGTCACTCCTATTAGCAGTTTGTCCTCCACTGTGTCGTCCACAGTTGGTTTCGTTGTACATGTTCAGTACAATAAAAGGCTACTCTATTCTACTCTATTCTACTCTATTTGAAACTGTATGTCACAAATGAGGAGCAGATGAAGAAAGTGAAGAAGCAGCCTGTGTTCGAGCCAAGTCTCTGTGTGCACGTGGTCTTATAGTGGTAAATGGTTAACAGGCTGCTAGTTACAGCTTTTCTCTCTTAGTGTGCTCTTTGTTATTGGTGTGCCTTCTTCAACCAATCACGCACGAGCCCATAACGGCCTCGTCTAACATCGTGCATGCACTCACGCTCCGATGGACGCAGCATGCAGACTGCAGTAGATGGGCATTGAACCACCGACCTTCTGACTGCTGTAGCTCAAGAACCACAGTTGCTCACTAACTTTCAAAAGATTGCAGCAATTAGTTGTTCTGCAACACACGAATCCCCGACCCAGCAATCAATCAATACGAGCAGATCCACAGCGCTACGATGTCCCTGCGTCGAGGCAGGATTCTGATTTAGAGGCGTTCAGTCATAATCCCGCAGATGTTAGCTTTGGATGGGAGGCTTCTGTCCTGTGCAGTAAAGCAGTGGTGTGGACAGTGTCTGATACTCTGAATCAGGACGTACCGTTGCAGGAACAGCTGCAAGTCTCTAAAACCCTGAACCCTATAAATGTACTCTTATTGGACAGAGCTCAGCCTGACCTCTGAGATCATAAAGACTGAATGAACTTCCTCCAGCTGCAGAGTCCTTGCTCCCTATTTATCGTCTGAGCGCTGATCCCGACAAAGTGCTGCTGCTTCACAGAGTCCGAGACTTGGAGAACCGGACACACAGAACTTTCTGCTCTCATGTGTCGCTTTCTACAGTTTGGGTTTTAGTTATAGTTTCGTTTTTGCGTGAGACCCAGAAACTTGTGTTTGAGTTGGAGTTTGTTTCCTGGATCTGGATTGGCTCCACCTCTGCTAACATCTGGCTGTAATCTGCTCAGAACGCTTGGAACAATCCTGCTAACAACCAGACAACGAAAAAATTCACATAATGTCACCGGTGGAGATGAAAAACATCAAGATCCAATGAAAATCTTTTTTACAGTCAGGTTTCAGGAAGTGAAACTCTTGATCACGTGTGTCGGGCATCAGCATGTTTCTCCGAGGAAGAGCTCGAACCTCTGAGCCAGCATGCCGTCCACCAGGATTGTTTCATTAACATTAGCTCAGGTCATTTCTTCCGTCCCTGATGTCTGAGCTCGCGGTGCTTTAGAAGCAGGTCAGCGTCACCGACCCCGGCAGGAAGTGCAGATTGTGGCAGAGCGTGTGATTGGCTGATGGAAGACAAACACGCTCAGCAAGCTGTTCATGTCAGGGTGAGTGTGTGTGTGTGTGTGTGTGTGTGTGTGTGTGTGAACCTCACCGTATAGCGTGATCCATGCGTGACACGGTGAGGTACGCCGCCAGGTTGGCGGTGTACGATGAACAAACTATGAGCGTGAAGAGCCACCAGCTGCCCATGACGATCCTCAGAGCGACCGATCCCACCACACCGTCCCCACCTGCACGCACACACACATACACACACACACACACACACACACACACACAC